GGGTTCTCACAGATGGACTTTGGCTAACTAGATTAAAACAAGTCCTGCATGTCTCCCCTTGGGCATGGGGAAACATCATGCACAAAGGTACACGACCATGGAAATGCAAATGTTCATCTGAGCAACAGATTAGAACACTCACGGGGAAGGGCAAATGAAAAATTGAGGGTTTTCAAAGGGCTCCATGATAAACTGAAGTGAACCCAACGCAAAACCTCTGGAATTTCTAAACAAGAGGACACAACTCCTAACTCCTAAAAGAAGATGTGTTATCTGAAAGCAGCTGGAGGCACATGCATGCATAGGGATAATGCTTCATGAAATTTGAGGAGGGTATAAATTAATTTGTTATCCAATAACAACAGAAATAACAAAAAGAAAACTTCGAGGCACCTGATTTTTCTGCATTTCCATGATTTCTTCCTGCAGCAACCAAAGTCAACGAGAATGTAAGCATGTGTTTGCCAGAGCCAACAAGTAGTGAATATGTGTACAAATGATGAAGGGTGCACTGAAACAAAGAAGAGAATGAACATACATGTTTCTTCTGCAATGCTTGGTTCTCGTCTTTTAGCTTTGCAACTTCTGCTTCCAATTCCATTGTATAAGCCTAAGCAGAGAAGCAAAAGAGCAACAATCATAAGAAACTTAAAAGCACAAATCCAGACACACCATAAGTTTTACCAGTTATCACTATAGAATAGAACTGTCTTGATTCGCAATGGTTATAACAAAACCAACTAGGTCAAGACGTCAGCCTTAATCACTGGTTTTATTGATTTTTATATGATACAGCTTCAGTTTCTCATGTTAAAACAAATGCTCCATTACCTTGTGACAAACAGGATCCTTATAACTTCTCATGACCTCGACTTCTCAAAATCTTTCATCTCTTCTCATGTCAGATTGCTATCAAATTACCATACTGCAGCATAATCTTTCATGAAGTTTTGGGATGCAGCATGTCACAGATAATAAAAGCAGAAGGTCAATGGCTAGTGAAACTCATTAAGCCACAACAAGAAGAAACTGGGTGGGAGGAGTTGCTCGAAGTGCATTTAATGCAGAGTTAAAAATCTTTGACATACCGTGGCGCTACAAAGTACATGTGATTTCCTAACATGAATATTAATGTAGTCTGGGCTATTTTCTTAATCGAAACAAGACGCACAAAAAGTTAAACAAAATTCTCACTCAGTCGGGAAAAGTTACTCATGAACAGACTGATAATACTTTTCAGATATTCAATTTAGAGATGATAGGAACGCACATGTCAAATCATCTACCTTTACACTAGGATGAACCAGTCACTTTGTGCTTGTCCAAACTAGACTTACTAACACTTTAAAACCTACGAAGAAGGAGACATAGATGAATGATTAAATCAAATATATTCACCTGCTTGCGAGCTCGTGATCTTGCAGCTGATTCTCTGTTTTTTATCATTCTCCTCTGCCTCCTCTCTGCAACCTTTTCCACAGCACTGCATTTTCTACCCCTCAAACTTCCATTAAACACGTAAGGAACTGGTGAAACTGAGGAAGTATCCCCACTACTCTTCCCAATCCCATCTGATGAAAGCTGGTTGGCAGGTGATCCAGTTGCAACACTGACTGGCCCTCCTAAACCAACCATACCCATCCCTCCACCCTGCAGTACACCACCCTGAATAAGACCATTACTTAGGCCCTGATCCCCAATCCCAGCAATTCCACCCCTAATTCCAGGACTCCCTAACTGACCACCACTTTGTAAAGGTATCTGAGCTCCATATCCCACAGCAGGTTGCTTGGGAAAAATTGGTTGCTGCTGTTGCTGGTGCTGCTGTTGCTGTTGAGTTTGCCGCTGAGCCAACTGGTGCTGGTTTGATCTAACTCCATTAACGTTCGAAGGCAAATTGGAAGCCTGAATACCAATTTGATTACCACTTTCAGAAATCCTATTCCCCATCAAATTTGCACCTCTACCACCTTGTTGAAACCCAATTCCAAACCCAGTATTAGTCCCGGACCGCGGTAACTCCCCAAAGAATCCCCCATTATTAACCTTCGCAACCAACGGGGTATCCTCTCTTACCACACCAGCCCTCACCAAAAACTCCTCTAAGGTCATCTCCCCTAAAGTCTGCTGCCTTTGAGGGATATTGTTAATCGCTCCAGTTCCAATCCCATCTTTCCCTATTGAATACTCCTTCGCAATGTCTTTCCAAACTTCATCAACAGTTTTCTGGCTAAGTGTCCTTGGCAAAGTCAAAGACCCTTGCCTTTGTAACCCTCCATTTCCGTCTAGGCCACCACTGGAAAAAGCCATTGTTTGAGTCTCTTCAGCACTCCAAATGTTCTTCAACAACTCATCCATGTTCATTGACCCAAAATCTTTGCCTATTCCACCGACAGTGCTTTGAAACTCATCAAAGGTTAGAGAATAGATTGATGGCTGTCTAATTAACTGCATATTCCCCGGCGGTTGCGGTTTAATCCCGCCGCCGTCAGCTGACGGTGGTGGGTTACTTCCAAAGTTCTTGAAGTTCATGTTAGTCCCCATTAAAATCTGGATAAAACAGTGTCAAAGGATTTGGTCCCAAAAAAAGATAGTCCTTTGCTATTATACTTCAAGAAAAGCAAAATAAATAAAATCCAATGCAAATTGAGGTGCTATATTTTTTCTAAATTTGGGAAGTTCACTTTTCAATTACACCATAAAAACCCCAAATCAGGTCAGATAAAAACAGGAACTTCTCTTTTTATCAGTTTTAACTAAGAAAAACAATCAAAAAAGCATAAACATAAAAGGACAGAAAATAAAAATGGAATCTAATAAT